CCTCCAAAGTTGTGCCACTTCGTATGGAGGGCGTGTAAAGGGTCCCTTGGAGTGATGAAAATGCTGCATTTTCGTCATATTCATCCCTCAAGCAGATGCTCAATATGTGGCGCAGGTAGTGAGTCAATAATCCATGCTTTGTTCTGTTGCACGCATGCTGTGAGTATTTGGCAGCAGAGTAATTTTCTTGAACTGCTAAATGATGCTCCAATGTCTTCATTTCAAGATTTATTCTGCTGGGTATCGAGAAAATTAGACAAAGCACAATTGAGAGTGTTTTTGTGTCTTGCGTGGGCAGGGTGGTGTTGTAGAAACAAAGCAATATTTGGCGATGTAAATGATATTAAAGGGGTTATGATTGCTGCAAACTTTGCAAATTGTGCAAGGATTATTGTGTTTACAATGCTAGAGTTGGTGGGGGTGTGTCTGCTCCTATCTCTTTCTCTCGTGCACATTGGAGTCTGCCACTGCCTTCCTTTGTTAAGGTAAATACTGATGCATATGTGCCCAACCATGGAGGTGTTTGCTTGGGTGCAGTCGTGAGGGATGAATGGGGCACGATTTTGTTGGCTGCAACGAAAAAGACTTCCTGCAGATGGTCATCAGAGGTGGAAGAAGTTGTTGCCGCGTGCTATGGTGTTCAGATTGTTCGCAGATTTGGGTTTGCAAATGTGATCCTTGAAGGTGATTCGATGAATGTGGTTCGTGCTATTAGAGACAAGCAAGTGGGAGCAGCTCCAATTTTTCATTTCTTCGAGGATATTGGTAGAATGAGGAATGCGTTTACTAGTTTTGATTGTGTTCATGTTAGACGAGCGGGGAATACTGTAGCTCACTTTGTTGCTAGATGGGATAAGGGTACTAGTGATGAATGTATTTGTTCGGACTCTATCCCCCAAAGTTTAGTTTTCAAACTTTGGCAGACCTTGATTTAATAAACTGATTCCCCATGTTTTGTCTTAAAAAAAAAAAAAAATACCTGTTCAAGCTTAGCATTTTTTTTTCCACAACGTTTTTTTGTCAAACTATGCGATGTTCATTTGTCCCCCCATTTTATAATTTCTGGCTCCGCCACTATATATTACCACATCCGAATTAAAAAATAAAGTAAATTCAACATTAATTCCATCGACCTATGTACGATCTTGCAATAATGTATATATTTCAAAATTATCTTTTAATTATTCTTAAGATTCGTGGCACTTCTCTTAGCTAGTTTGTGTACAAATTTCGAGGAATGAACAGATCCCCAAACAGCCAGCAAGCAAGCTAACTTTTGCTCGTGGTGAACCATCGACCTTCATTCAATCTATTTTTCCTTCTTTCAAGTAGTGTCGTGAACCATGAAATTTGACCATAATAAACACAAGAATTGAATTGTGGTCAAGGCTTGTGATGGTAAGTGCCTTAATTAACAATGGTGATAAATTTATAGGGGTTTTGAATTATATAACGTAATGTTCTTATACTTGTTTACTTTAAAGAATGCATAGAAAGATAACAGTAATACAACAATTGCTCCATATAAATACTTTTTAAATACTTGTATAGTCATGGTATATTCTTAATTGTATGAGGTAATTGGGACATTGATCAAATGACACATTGTTTATTCACTTGAAATCAAATAGGCGGCTGGCGGCATAATATTATTCATGAATCATGGCAAGTTAATGATTTATTTCTTGTCAGGAAGTACAGAATATTTATATTTACACATTTTTTCTAAGCAGCAAATTGGTAGTTATAGGCTTATAACCAATCAAGTAGCCAATTATGCTCGAAATAATACTTTTTAATTGCAATATTATTGCCTACCAACTTGCCAAGTGAGCTAAGGTGCTTAATTGAATTTGTTGTGGCATGCCTATATATTAAGTGAATACTGAATGAGAAAGACCTCTTGGTGCAATAGCCCAGAGTTCGCCCCAATTTTTGTGGTGCGAGGTTTGATTTGCAACGGTCACAAATCCCCTTTCCTTTCGGGTATTGCCAGTCAGATTTTCTGTGATAGGAGCTACAATTGGAACCCAATTAATCTTACAGTGGAAAAAAAAAAAGTGAATAAAACGTTAACTCCCTTAAGCCTCAAATTTGCTCTTAATGTATATTTACGAAAAATAAAAGTTCATTATATTAAAAATGTATATCTAATTAATGTTATTAAAAACATAATTTTTATCTTAGTATACATGTAAGGCCCCGTTTTTTAGAGGTGTTCTGCTCTTCTCTGATTAAGAATAATACTAATAATAATAAAAAAAAAATCTACTCTGTTGAAATTTGATGTGCTCTGCTCTACTCTGCTGAAATCTGCTCTGCTCTACCCAGAATCTCAAAAGAACAGGGCCTTAGTCAAAGTAAATCAAGTAAAAAACACTTACCGACAACAAATAAATGTTTAAAAGAAACGTTAGAAAGTAGTCATTCAAACATACACTTTTCCTACCATCCACCACAAGATCGAATTCTCTACTCCGTATTAAACAACAAATTTGTCAACTTTTTTGTTAAATTATATAGATTATGTTGCAAAATCACTGTAGCTAAGAGAGACAAACTATAATAGAGTAGTCAATTGCAAATTTGCATTCAAGCTTAGAAACAAGACAAAAGCCACACCAAACCGACTGCGAGTCTTCGCCTATATATTCGTCTAATTATAAAATGTTATGGATAATACCCATGTTACTATTATAGTATTATCTATTCATCTATTTCAGCAATTTTATTCAATCAATAAAGACCAAGAACTTCAATTAAAAACTCCATTTGAATTGACTCAAACCGAAAGTAACCGTCACTCACCTCCTTTAGTCCTAAGAGAACTACAAAGCTCCTAGACAAGTGTAACGGCCAAATTATACTCGGAGTAGCTTAGCTTATATTAGTACTTGTGTTTATTAACAACTAGTTTTTGTGCAAAACAGCAGCATGATACACAAGAATAGGTCTATCTATCTTGGTCACGTGTCTCGTTCCCTATTATCTAATACGGAGTACAAAAAAATCTTTGTGTAAGTTTGAACTCATATTAAGACGGATATAAATTATTGGACATTTTATATTAATTTTAAATATATTTATTACATTTGAAATTTAGACATATGTTATTAGACATTTTATATCAATTTTTGAATGGGTTAACTTGCACTAAAATGAATTTGCCCGATACTTTGTATTCCACCAATTTGATAACCGTAGATTTGCTTTTGTACCACTTGTTCTACGTATACTATGCGAGTATGCAGCCCATGCTTGATAGTTGCTAGCACAAATGTTAAGGTTTTTTTTTTATTGAAGAAAACACAAACGGAAACTATATATTGCGAATTTGCATGTTTAACAACTTGCTACAATATTTATTGTATAATTACTTGAGATTTAAGAAAGAAAAAAAATTTGAGCTTAACATATACAAGTAATTTTGAGTCAAAAAATTACCTGCGACAAGAAGAAATGGGACCCAGAGGAAAAGCAAGTTAACGAAACCTGAATTTTTCATATAAGTTAAAGATTGTGATTGTAGTAACATATATGAACCGACCAAAAATTAACTTGCTATAAATTGACACTAAAAGAAAAAAAAAAAAAAAATTTGACACTAAAAGAGTTATAGCAACGTCTAATATTTATTAATTTTTTATTTATTTATTTTTTTTATAGTAAAAGACTAGTTTAGCATGTAAAGTATATATTGTATGTTAGAACCTTTGACCCAGCCTTACAATTGCTCCTCTTCTTACTAATTATCTAGGAAGAGAGGGAGGGATAATTTAAGTGGTTAGAGCTCCCTCCAAGTTTTAAAGGACTGTGAAATTGATTCTCATCATCCATTTTTATACCTCTCTAAATACCCCCCAAAAAAATATTATCCTTGAAAGATTTTATCAACTCAATCTATTTTATTCAGTATTAATTTTGGATAAATTTGTTACAATAATTATAAAAAAACAAAGGTTACGTAGTAAAATGAGTTGGTACACTATTTTGTAAAGGCGAGGTACTTTGTTTGGCTTCGATTACATTAAATTCACATGAAAATTGTTGTCGAATATATTTGAATTTAATTGAACTAGTGCTATATGAACTTGTTATATTATCCTTCCAAAAAAAAAAAAAAAAAAAAAAAAAAAAAAATTGTTATATTAAAACTTATTAACTTTTATCAATTATTTATCTTAAACAAGCAAAGTGACAATAAGGTGAATTGCGCATAGTCTTAATCTAAAACATTTAATTTTTTTCATTTTTAGGCATTCAAACACGACAATTACGAAGTGCCCCAATGAAGATAACTTAAATTTTAGAAAGGAAACTTTTATTGAATTGATAACCAAATGGGTTTTGCTACTCCCTCTAACTTATTTATTTAAGTGCATCACTTTTTCAAATCAACCCTTTATTATAAGTGTATCATTTTTTTTTGGACATTTTATTAAATTGTATGTCTCAGCTCTCATCATATGATCCCCACTTCTATCGCGTGAGGGAGTCCTTTTTTTTTTCTTTTTTTCCCCTTATTTCTCTCCTCTTACATTCTTTAATTTATACTTGTTATAATTATTACAACATTATTTATTTATTTTTTGATTCGCAACCTTATCTGAACTACTTATCTTATCTTGTTAGAACATAAGTAAAATTATTGAAACTTAATAAACCTTATTGTAATTAGTAGTAATTCTTATTAGAAAATAATTTTCTTGAGCTATAACCTAAAATAAGTAAAAATAAGGTGAACTGAATAACCTGTTATTACTTCAACTCGCATTCCTAAAATTATATATTGGTCATACTCATACACTTTATATAAAAAATGGAGGAACGATCCTAAAAATCATTAAGTGGTTTTGTTATTGGTTATTGGACTATAGATTGGAGTTTGGAATACATATATAACTCTTCGTTTTAATTAAGTACAAATAAGTTGAACAGATTATGACAATTTGATATAAATCAACCGAATTATAATTCATAAAAATTTAATTATATATTTTTGGTGACAAATATGATAGTGTTAAATGATGCAACGATTAATCAACACATTAGGTATCCCACCCTAAAAAAAAAGGTGACCCCATTTGTCTTATTTCCCCACTACCCATGTTCCCTTAGAACATGCAGCAAATTATGGCTGATTTTCCCCACCCCTATATATACTCCTCCTTCTCACCCCTTCTCTCTTAGCTTGCTAACTCTCTTCTCACCATTCAAACAACTACTCATACTTCACCACAAAACAACTCTAGTTTTTCAACCAAAATCCTCAAAACTAAACCTTATTTTCCCCTTTTTTGTTAAATACATAAAAATATGGAAGTAGAGCTAGTAAGATGTGAGTGTTGTGGATTGAAAGAGGAGTGCACAGTAGAATACATAGAAGCAGTGAAGGCAAACTTCAATGGGAAATGGCTATGTGGGTTATGCTCTGTTGCGGTTCGAGACGAGGTAAATCGAGCGGGGGTTGAAAATGCTGTTAGCGCGCATATGTCTTTCTGCAGCAACTACAAGTCTAGCCCGGCTTCAAGGGTTGCTGATGGTATGCGCCAAATGCTTAGGAGAAGGTCAGGAGAGTTATCTCACTCTTCTGCTAAAAAATATGTTCGATCAAATACTGCTCCTCAAGTCCTTTGAAAGGTCAGGAGAGTATAAACCCCGGCGAAGATGGGAAGAATCGATAAAGAATGACGAACATAAAATCATGATTGAAATAGCGTTAGGAGAATGAATTAAGGTTCTATAAGCCTCTGTTTATCAAACAGGGGTGCTCTATTTTTTTTTTTTTTTTTTTTTAATTTCCATCTTATTTTGGTTTTGTACAGCAGTGAATTCTATTAAATAAATCTCTCTATAAACTTGGACTATTTTTAAGCCTTTTTGGGTTTAGTAATTTATTTGAGGACCAAAACGTTTTATTAAGCTCGTCTTAAAAATGAAACTTGTTCAGTTGTTCTTACAGGACGAGAATTTGTAAATGTCTCCAAAAGGAAAATTATCTCCGTAACAGGAACTGACATATTTAATATTGACATCCGTATAGTTTGACCATTTACATAACTAAACGTTACTGTCTTAAAAACTATACTTAAAATGATTTAGAGTTTTATGTAACTTTATATATATATAAGGAAATTTTGACAATTATCACCTTCTACTTTGGTCATTTTAGCAATTATCACCTTGTATTTTTTTTTTTTTTGAAAATTACCACTCTCATCATATGATCCCCACTTCTATCCGTATAGTTTGACTTTGCTGAGTGGATTGAATTGGGTGGTCAACAGCAGACTGTGAACCATGCTGAGAAGAAGCAGCAGCAGCAGCAGCTTGTTGGGTTCCACTTGCAGCCACCTATCACAGAGAAAAGAACAAAGTGAGATACTGAAAAAGTCAGGAAATGCTTGACAACCTAAGTTTAAATAGATTACCTTACTCAATTCCTTGACTTCCCTCTTCTTCCTTTGCTCTTTAACCCAAGGTGTTTCTGAAGGAGGTATGCCACCTTTGTCAATTTGTTTGTCCAGCTGAGCAGCAGCTTCATTCTTGCAAGTCTTCTTATTGTGTCCCAATTGCTTGCACTTGCTACATCTTGTAGTCTTTTTAGGAGGGGCAACTTTATCTTGATCTTCTCCTTGCTCTTTCTTCCTTTTCCTAGACTTAGGTCTTCCTGGTAAGACCCTTATGACAGGAGGCAATGGTTTCCTGAATCCCATCTTCTCCCAGTGCTTATCACCTGGTACAGGAAGTATGAGAGTACCATCAGATAAGTCTCCCTACTGTATGCCTCATCAACATAGTCATTTGGATCTACTCTTTTATCCATCAAACAGGCATAGGCATGTGTGCAGGGAATTCCAGTGAGCTGCCAATGGTAGCATGTACATGTTCTTTCTTGAATATCAACAACAGCTTGGTCTCCTCCAAACTCCACCTCATAGTTGTCATCCCTTGACAGTTGCACAATGCATCCTCTAGCCACATGTTCAATCTTTTCAAGTGTCTTGGTGATGTAGGGCATATTCTTACCATTCAATTTCTGCACTCCCTCCCACTTCTCATTACACCTCCTCATCATATACCTTCTCATCCACTCCATTTGAGTGAGAATATATTTATCTCTTGCCTTCCTTATCACTGAGTTGAATGTTTCACACATGTTGTTCAATAACATGTTTGACTTGCAATTGGTTGAGAAAGCATGCCTACACCAATGCCTTGTGGGGATGTTGACAAGGTATTCATATGCATCTTCATTGAGAAATTTAATGCTCTCCATGGAAATTTCATGATCAACCTTGAAGGACAGAAGAAAGTAAGAAAAAAAAGGCATGAATGCTGAAGTTACAGGAACAGAACAAGTTAGAGGAACAGGCATATACCAAAGTTGTTCCCCTTGCTGCTTGCCAAAACAGATCTTTGAAAAGGGTCCTAGTGAACTGAAGCTTGAAGTTTGCCCAGATATTTCTTACACAATATTTGGTTTCTACTTTGGGCACAACTTGGTTAAATGCTTCAAGTAATTCCTAATGGCACACACATAAACACACATAAAATTACTAACATGTTAAGTAAGCAAATTTAGCAAATTTAAGTGAAAAAGATAGGTAAATGTAGCTGCAATAACTTCTGTCTGTCTGACATAAAGGTCCATCCTTCACCTTTCTTACCAGACAAGTCTTTCATCAGCATTTGCAGAAACCAAACCCAAGTCTCAGTGTTTTCCACCTCCACAGTTGCCCAAGCAAATGGAAATATGTTGTTGTTTCCATCCTTCCTAATAGCAACTAGAATATGTCCTGGGTATGCACCCTTCAAGTGACAGCCATCAACCCCTATGATAGACCTACACCCTTTTTTAAACCCCTCTAAAACAATCCATTAAGAGCCATATACATTCTCATGAATATAGGTGGCTCTGGCCCATCCAAACCATCAACTGCTACCCCCACCCTGCTGCCCTTGTTATATTTGGTGATTGTTTTCCCATAATCCCAAACTCTCTCATATTCTTCAGCTACAAAACAATATATCTTGAGCTTTTCCCTAGCTCTAGCCAACCATGCAGTCCAATAAGTGATTTTAATACCTGTTTCAATCAACACCCTCTGCCTAAAAGCTTTCAATTTCCAACTAGGATCAGCTTTCCAGTGCACTATGTACTTATCTCCTAAGTACTCTAAATTCATCTTCTTGTTTGATGTAGTTCTTACACAAGTGTTGTCTAGTCTCATATAATAGATTACCCAGTAACTTTCCTAGGATTGAATCTAACATACACTGTGAAAGGGCATTGGTTTTCACAGCTACACATGGGTTTTCTACAAGTCTTTAGATTCCATGTACAACCACATTTGAACTTGCAATAAGTCCTAATTCTAGACTTATCATTGTGCAAGAAATAAAAGTCATACCTATTTTCTACAGCATGTTGTCTTAAAGCTAGCCTTGCAACAGTACTTGAAGTAAACCTCAGCCCCACCTTCAATGTAATTGGTTTGCTGAAATCAGTGAGGACATTAAATATTGTATATGGTTCCTCTTCAAAATATGAACCAAGTAAACTCCTTAGCTCCTCAGAATATTCACCTTCTTCTTCTCTCACTTATGTCCTGCCTTGATCTGGAACCCCATCTCTTTTAAGCCCCCGAGCTAGACTGCTCTGTACCTCCTGCAGTATTCCATCCCCTCCCTTGCTTGAAAAAAATTCGTCAACATTCAATTCACACTCTTCTTCACCGGGATTCCAATCAACATCTAAATCACTTGCCTCAAAACTGGATAAACCAGATTCTTTGTCATCCTTTTCAAACAACCTCCTCTTTGTCTTCTTAACCTTCTTATGCTTATCTGCCTTATCATGTTTCCTTGCCCTACTCACTTTCTTACCCTTTCCTTTTTGTGCAACATGCTTCACCCTAGGATTAGATCTAATCCCTTTCAAAGTGTTAACATGCTTATTGAACTCCCTCTTTGATATCAACACAGCCTCCTCAACCACCCTAGGTTTTCTGATTGGTATTAATTTCTGAGATTTGGGCTTGGAAATTTGTTGTGTAGAAGGCTAGTTGGGCTGAGATTGAGCTACACTTGGGCCTTGCTGGTTGGGCCCAGGTTCACTAATTGTGAGGGATGGAAATTTTATCCTATATGTTGGCAAACTCAAAGGCAAAGATTCTGGTGTGGGCTCAAAAACAGACTCAATTGTGCAATACATCTCCACTATCCCCATCTTATCAACAGTGTCCAGGAATTTGTCAATGTCCAAATCATCCTTAAACTCTCTCCTCCCACTGCCAAGTGTTCTTCCCTTCAGCCTATACCATACCTTAAACCTTTGGGGAACATCCATTCCAGCATCACTAAACCAGTAGCAGCAGCATATCTAAGTGTTGAAACCCTCATGTCTCTCACACTAACTCCAGTAGTCAAATATGTCCAACCACCTTGATACTCTACAACCCTCCTATTTTTATGAGTCTTAGTAACAAATTCACCTCCTTATCTAATCCTTAAATCAACAAACTTGGGATATATACTCTCTTCCACACTACAGCACCCAATGCAATAAAAAAAGCAAACAATATATAATCAATTGCTTGTGGTCAACAACAAACACACCAAGCACAGTAAACAACAAAAATATAAGCATGCATATCAATTTTAACCAATATTCTAATGGCAGACCAATCAATGCTCAAATCGAAACATGCAGCTTTGAATTTTAAATTATTTCCACTAATTAAACAATAAAAAACCCTAATTTACAACTAATTGATGAATATAAAACCAAATTGCACAAATTAACATGCACATACACTTTAAAGTTCTAGGGTTTGTCAATTTCACTTTACACTATCAAATTACCTTGCTTTTTAACTCCGTTTTGCAATTTTCAAACAGCAAAGGCCTCCTAGCTTGGTCCCCCCTTCAACAATGACGTTTCCAACCCTATTCTAGTCTCTTACTGCGCCAAGAACAGTGTACTATTCTGAGAAATTTAGCAAGTACTTTGACCAAGAATAATGAGGAGAGAGAGAGGATGTGACAAGAGAGAGTAAAATCTCAGAAATTTTTAGGTGGGTGAGGATGAATTGATGAACATTAATGGTGAATGAGAGAGAAGAGAGACAGGGGAGAAGCTAAGAGTGTCGAAATAGAAATGAAAATAAGGAAGGAAATGGGAGGGGAAGGTAAGTGGTGGGCCATACATGACGTCATATGGCCGTTAAAGGGGGAGAATGTGGTAAGTTTTGGTGTTTTGAAAAAGAGAAGGTGGTAATTTTCAAAAAAAAAAAAACAAGGTGGTAATTGCTAAAATGACCAAAGTAGAAGGTGGTAATTGTCAAAATTTCCTATATATAAACATGTACTTGTATTTAACAACATTTTACAAAGTAACCTTTGTTTTTAATGCATACTTGTATTATATGAAGTATATTTCTCGTAGTAACACTATAGTAAAAGTTAGTACATGATTACTCTTAATGTAAACGGTAAAACATTGTTGATAGAGTATACGTAGTAAAAACATATTCTTGGACCTCAACTAGACCTGGCAAATGGGTCATTCGGGTTGGGTATGGATCGGGTCATTTCGAGTTGGGTCAAGTTTGGGTCAAAAGATTATCGGGTCAAGTTCGGGTCGGGTCGGGTCGGGTCATTTCGGGTTTCGGGTTGATTTTGGGTCGTCTGATAATTAGGTCAACACTTCGGGTCGAGTTCAGGTCGGGTCAAGTTTGGGTCAGGTCAATTTTCGGGTCGTGTCAGGTCAATTTTCGGGTCAACTTCTAGTCGAATCATATTCGGGTGATTCATTGGGTTAAATTCAACTCTGTATATATATTTATTTTTTATTTTTTTTTTGACGAAAAACTCACTATATTTATTAAGGCTAGTTTTTCATGGGTTATAGTAATTGTTTGACTTTATTAACCTTTTTTTTTTTTTTTGTGTTTAGAACTTTAGACTGAGAATCACTTTCGATCTCCTTAAACTAAGAGGGATGCTCTAACTAATTGAGTTATACCTCACTCTCTTATTGATCTTAGTTTTAATACGTACTCTTATTATCATTGTCATTGTTGTAATAATTTCTTTGAATTATTCTTATACTCCCTCCGTCCCAAATTACTCTTAACGATTTGACATTTTGCACTATTCACACATCTCACTTCGACCATCTTTTTTAGCTATTATATGAAAGTCAATGTAGTCATGTAAGATGTTGTTGGGTCTATTTTAATGTATAATTTCCTAATATAAACTTTTTATAACTTATATATTTACTAAAAGAAGTTAAAGGTCGGGTCATTTTTGGGTCGGGTCAACTTCGGGTCTCGGGTCAACTTCGGGTCAGGTTGTTTTGGGTCTCGGGTCAACTTTGGGTCGGGTTATCTCGGGTTGGGTCGTTTCGGGTTGGGTCATTTCGGGTTTCGGGTCAAGGTCGGGTCAGTTCCACTTCGGGTCGGGTATGGGTCGGGTCGGGTTAATTCGGGTTTTGGGTCAATTTCAAGTCGATTTCGGGTCATGGGTCGGGTCATTTGGGTCGGGTCATCGGGTCAGGGTCAGGATTACCAGGTCTAGCCTCAACCATCTACTTAAGTTTTTGGTTAAGTTGGTTCTCTACAATTTCAATGGAGTAATCGATAAGTATAGGGATTAAAGCTCGCTTAGATAGTAAGATATTGTTTTAAGAAAACGTTCTGTATACTGGACTACTAGATCCTGGATGCAGATGGACTTGCAAACGGAGGCCTAATATGGATTTGTTAGTAGTGAACGAATTCCCAGCGTTTTCGGTGAATGATTAATGCACAAAATTGAATAAGCATGTGACATAAAACTTCAATGACATTTCACATGTTCTGTCATAGTTTTGTGGCGTCTTTTATGTTACGCTGATTCATCAATTTTATGATTTTGAAATTTGTGTTTATTTTGTAAACATATTACTCGAAAACGTTTACGTATCACGTAGAACTGTGCCACATAGTCATTTAACTAATATTGCTCCATGTCAAGCTCTCACAAGTTGATTAAATTGTTTGTTTGAATTGTATAATCTTAATATTAAAATATATGTCACGTGGCTATGTTGCAAGTAAATAAAAACAGGAAAAATATATACTATGTGTTTAGGGTAAAAATACCCCATATACGTGGACCAGTCCCGTAGCGACACGTGGCCCAATAAGAGGGTAACACGTGCCACTATGGGAAGATGCCACGCATTCAGGTTAAAAGCACTCTAGTACACGGGCCAATCCTGTAGCGACACGTGGCCCAATAAAAGGGTGACACGTGTCACTACAGGAAGACGCCACGTGTTTAGGGCATATAAAACCCATGAAATCAGCACAAAAAGAGGCCTCATTACATCATGGCCCAAATCCCGAGAGATATCCCTAAAAGTCGCAAAACGGCGCCCCCATGTTGCACGTGGCATCGCGTGATTTCCCAGCCAATCACGTCACATAATTTTAGGGTACAAACCCTAAAGGGGCATAAGTTACCACCCCTATAAATACCCCAATCATTTATGATGGGAGGGGGGATTACGACA